GTGAGTGTATAGCTGGCTCACCACTGCATCTTTTCCTTGAAGATTAACATTCAGCGCATACAGATGCCTCGTTATGTCAACCAAAAAAGCCAGATTTGCCAGCCATACAGGATTGGACAGTTATTCCATTGGTTGTCCCTTCTCACCCAAAAAATTTCCAATTTCCTCTTTGCGAGAGAAAAATCGCTGCAGTGCGGACCCCCGACTTAGCCACCTCACATCGTTGTGATATATTACGTCACCATATTAAGCCTGGATGTCACGCAAGAACTGCTGAAACTGTCAGTGGTATAGAGCTTTAGAGCGAATAGAATTGATTGCCTTTGCCACTGGTTTCATAACATCGTCAAATTTGAGATGTTTGGCGCAGAGAGCCTGCTGGTGAATGATACAGTGAAGTTTAATAGCATCACCTGCTTCTTCGCTGACTTTATTGCAGATCAGTGTGGACAATCCACTTCGCTCACCAGCCATGGCAGGCGCACCATCGGTAATGATCCCAGAAACTTTACTCCATGGTAGTTTCATATCATCAACAGCTTCACAAACAGAAACGAATAAATCTGTTACTCTGGTTTGCCCTTTAAGGCTTTTGAGGTCAAGCAGCTCCTCTGTCACGTTCATGTTGTCATCAACTCCTCTTAAAAAAATAAGTAGTTGTGCAGTGTCAGATGCATCGGTGCTTTCATCGCAGGCTAATGACGATATGTCCTCAACTCTCCGTGCCACAGTGTTGCGTGCCAGGCAAACATTCATAAATTTTTGCTTCTTCTCGGGGCAAATGTTCTCCACCATTTTCATGACACAGTCTTTGATAAACGCACCTTCAGTAAAAGGTTTGCCATGTTTAGCTATTAACATGGCCACTTCATAGCTGGCTTTGGTGATGTTTTCCTTTGACTCACAGGCCCGCGTGAAGAATCGCTGTTGCCGATGCCAGAGCAGCTTGGAGTTGCTTCACTTTTTCAGCGCAGTCACTCCCTGTTAGCTTATCGTATGTTGTAGCATGTTTAGTCTCGTAGTGTCTCTTTACGTTGAAATCCTTAAACAAGGCAACCGTCTCTTTACAAATTAGACAAACACAATTGCCTCGATTTTCAGTGAAGAAGTATTGTAATTCTCACCGCTCCTGAAAGCGGCGGCCCTCACTGTCAACTTTCTCTTTTTTTTATCGCCATGGCAGAAATGACTCGAGAAGGGTTCGCGGCACGGATGCAGAGCCAGATAGCATTAGAATGGTGCTGCCACCGTGTGGTGAAAGGAGGAATTACATCTTTAAAGATTTATGAGTTATTTATTCTGACAGAGCTAGCGAGCCATAAATAACACATTATAAGATCGAAGCTGCGGGCCGTATGAAATCGGACTTTGGACATGCCTGTTGTATACCATTGGCTGTCGAGGGTTTGCCTTCAAAGAATGGCTCTGGGGGAGTGACAACATTACTGGAAACTGAACTAGTGCTAGTTCCTTCCTCACAGCTGACAATAGTGCTGCTGTCATCATTATTACTATCAGAGGGTTTTTGAAAGAAGTTGGCAATGATTGGAACACTTTTAAACAAAACTGCCTCTCTTGCTTCCTTTTTTTTGAAAGCACCACTATTCCAACGTTTGTGGTCCATATTTCAGAACTAGTATGCTATTTATATGAATATATTTATAGCATTTTAACTGCATGCCTATACAAGTCACCATATGTCGATGGTGATTAACTGTGGCAGTATGTGCATGCATAATGTGCATGCGTAGTATGCATGCGTAACACTATGATTCAATGTGAATACTCAAACCAATACTAGATTGTAATTTATATGAAAACATGAACCGCCCCCCGCCCCCTCTGGTCCTCATGTAGTGGCGTAACGCGTGCAGGGTTTGCAAACAGCAGTTGCATTCATGTACGGGGTTTCAAACAGTGAGGTCAGCTTAGGATAAGCAGGTGCAGGCGGGAGGCCTGGATGACAGCAGACAGAGAGACGCCAGCAATTAGGGAAAGAGGCAGTGATTGGCTGGCTGTAAATGCAAACGTGGAGTAGGCGCCATGGAGGCGAGAGATAGAGGCGATAAGGGGGAGAACACGTGCAAGAAACGCTGGAAAAACGCCGGCTTGATGAGGGCCATCTGAGGGCACTTAATGACGAGGGGGATATAATGGAAACGTGTGAGGCAGTGGGGTTGAGTTGGTTGGAGATGAAGCAGTGAAGAGATTCAAGAGAAGTCCGGGACCTCGCCCTCCACACCTCTTCCTCCCCAGCGGTGTTGGCTGAACCCCCGCTGGGGGCACGGGCGAGGTTGGAGGTGCGGGTGTAGACAGGTTAGCAGTGGAGAGGCTAGCGGAATCTTCAGTCTGAGTGTGATAGGCTAGCGGGGTGAGAAGCTAGCAGAGTATACAGAGAGAGAGTTCGTGACAGGCTAGGAGAGTGGGGAGTAATAGGCTAGCGGAGCGAGAGAGAGTAAGCTCGAAGTAGCAGGCTATCAGAGGAAAAGTTCGCGATAGGAGTATGTGGTGTTGAACAAGAGGAGAATCCGTGTGGGATGCTGTGAATAAGTTGACACAGGAGAAAATACGAAGTTGCCCACGTGAATAAACACCACACTACACTCGTACCTGATTGGCTCACAACAGACGATGTCACATTTACCCTCTCTATTTAAGACCAAAATATGAGGAGGATATCTCCACAACTCTGGCTGTTGCCTCATGAGTTGTAATTACGGGCCAAACGTCGTACTCAAATGGTAAATGTTGTGGGTTTACTCTCCAACACACCGGTGTGCTGAACTAGGCACGAATTGTGTTGTTTACATGACAAACCTCACTAATTGGCTGTCGGATGGTGGCGGGTTTAACGACACATGTTTACGCAATCTAACCCAAAAAAAAACAAACCTTAATTATGCATACAATATTGACCAGCAGCGCATCACATGATGAATTCAGAGTTTAAGAATGAAAACCCAGGTTGAAAAAGTACGATTTTTTGCAGTTTCCAAAAGATATTTGAGCAACAGCAAAACAATTGAAAAATACTCAAGACGTCAGCCTCAGATGCAGCCATTTTCTATAAGTGCTCTCTTGCAACTCATCTTCACAATGGAAAAGCAAAGTTGTCTTAATGCTATAAATTGTTTGGCAGCTGGCATTACTGACCAAGCATTAAGCCCGAAACATTTGGTGCGTGCAACATAACCCATGGAACTGCTTAACAGTACATGTAATCCATTGTGTGCTGATGTCCTGGCCAAATGTGGGCGCTTATCCATTATATCTAGTTACCAAATTGTTCTTCCCAGAAGGCCTATTAAAGCTAAACATGCATGCACTTAAATTGCAATAATTCTGATATATTGTAGATGGTAACTGGCACGATAAAATACTTGGTACGATTACGATAGTTTTGTTTAAAAAAAGGTACGGGCGCAGTCCTGAAATCTCGCCACTGCTGGCAGAAAGTTGCGTGTTTAATTACCAATTGGATACCTCTACATTTTTTGTGAGCATTAAATCTAATGGTCTCATATTTCGATCAATTTTAAACTTGTAAACTGAAAGAGCGTGTAAATATAAACATGAACAAATCATGATGTTCCATTTGATAAATGGGACCACTAGGTTAAATCTCAAAAGAGAGGCAGTGCTAATGAATGAAGTGTTTTATTAAGTAATGTAAAGCTTACATTGATTATATTCTCACTCAAGATACCTACTATGCAATGGTTTTCAAAGAGGCATTACAAGCTCCCGTTATTTTCACTTCTACAGATATGCATTTGGTGCCGCCGTGGGAAAGTGTGGTGGGCTAAAAAGGGACTACTCCAACATCTTTCAAGAAGTCTGGACAGCGTAGAAGAATAGTGCAAAATATAATCTTCAGGGTCTGTCTAGAGCTCCTTATAGTGGCATGAGCGGGTAATTGCAAGGCTATACCTTTATTTTTTATTTATTTTTGCTGTTGCCTTTGATATGGACTATGCTCGGTGTGACGGGTACGGACATGAGGGCACAGTCAGGTTGCCACCTTTCCGATGGACCAAACCCTGACAGTTCTCAGTAGTCAGCCTCGGTCGGTTGAAACTGTGATGCAATTCAACACAATGTCGGTACCAGATCTCGGTGCAAATCCATTCCTGCCACTCGAACATAGACGCCAATTAATGGTCTGTCCAACCCGGCCCAGTGGGAACTTTCGGGAAAAGTTTTTCTGCTGCTAAGTATGTGATTGGGACGTGATGGCCAATCACACAAACAGCTCAAACACTGAGTTGTGTAAATCCCTTCATCCTGTCATGAGTCACACCCATTATGTCCTCTCTCACCACCACCACACCTTGCTGGCTGAGTGGCTGCTTGTGATTCCAGGCATGAACCTGCATGCCTGGAATATAAAAAAAAATCACACGTATAAAGAATATAAGTGTGTGTGTGCATGTTTGTTTGGTAATGACAACAACAATAATCAGAGCGCCGGGTGGCTAAAACACAGCAAATTGGCAAAGTAGTGGGCACAGGTCATGCATCTGCCAGTCATCTCAGTCAGTCAACCCATGGCATCTGAGTCTGTCCCGTGACCTGTCAGCGGGTGTTCGACACTTCACATGGTCTTAAAGTGCACATAGCCTGGCACAAGCGCCATGGTGACGTTACCGCCACTTAGTGGTGAACGGCGGTTGTTGTTGGTAATGAGTGGGGAACAGTGCTCTGTTTACTGTGTTCAGATATCAGTGTCTTAGATTCAATTCCTGGCTAAGAACAACATCGGTGGGGAGTGAAATCTGAAATTGGTCATTGAGGCTTCTCTAAGTCAACTCAGCATTAAATTAACGTAAGTGGTGTGTCGTGATTTTCACCGGGGAGACAAAGGTGGCTGGGAGCGGTGATGACCACACCACCCCCTCGTGGGCTTTCCCTGCCTTTATAGGTGCTTACTAACAGAATGTAGGGGAAAGTGCCATGTGCACATATATATATGTGTATGCATTATACGTTCCAATACTTACAAATTTGAAAGCTCTTGCAAATTCTGGAAGATGTTCAGCGGCAGCTTCTGGATTTTATTTGCTGAAATGTCACTAGAAAGAAAAATATAAATAAATATTGTCATGGAGCAAATTAATACAGAATAATGGTTAATAATAAATGTTATGCTTTGTCCAAAAGCCATAATCCATGTAAGATTTACACAGCAACTTGGCATGTATTCATTCTCATACATTCACCATCATTGATCCAGGCCTCCATGAAGGCTCTCACTTTGTGACCCCAATGTTTATTATCTTAATAAGCAAAATAAAAGACAATGGAAATTAATATAATTAATAATCAAAGTAACTTATTAACAATATATATCATCAGGCCTCTCATGGTCTTGCGATGTGACAGTCCATCTAGCTGCTGTACACAAGCTGATATAATCTCTGTTGTGGATGTCACCCTGGGCTTATTCGCCAAATGATTTATATGCCCACGCAATTATAAATACTACCTTATACGTCTCTACTGGCTTCGAATTCAATATTATAATTGGTTAAATCTCTCTGCGAAACACTGAAAGCCCATTTATCCTACTTACCTTCGAACTACATGACCTATCATTTACTCTCTCACTCTGCCTACAGTACTGTTTTGTCGTTTGTGCTCATTCAAACTTACGTACATTGTGAAGCCACTCTTTTTCCTGTACCCTTCCATTGTAATCATTCTGCTTGTGTTTTATTATTTAAATGTGTTTTTTAGCGACAAAATACAAAAGCATGATGTCGCAAGCAAAGCCTACACCTTCAAAATACTAATAAAGAAATGCTATTAATGTCTGCTTTATTTATCCATTAAAGTCTAACTCAGGATCATGATTCATTTTCAGCACTGGTATGTTTGGCCAATTACTTCAAATTAGTGTCATTCACACTCAAGGAATGATACTCAACAAATCTGCACAGATGGGTTAATGGACCCACTTGTCATACTGCTGTTTCATGGCTGTCCCACTACCCAGCAAGTTTGGAGTCTCATTGCAAGTGATGATTTCCTGAAGGTCCACAAAGCTTGGGTCCAAAGAGCTGCATTGTAGGCATGTGGCAATTTTACTACTCTCTCTTTCAACCCGAGACGAACATAAGACATTGCAATCAGGCTTCCCTTTCCAGCGACGCATTAATCAACCCTTAGCGGACTACGCAACGTTACGTTTGCTTAAAACTACTCCTACTCAATAAGTCTATATCTTGGGGAGTTTTGCAACTGCAAAACTCTATATCAGTGTGGCTATGTATAGATAATGGAGTAAGACTCCGTTCATCTGAGGTGATGTGGGGAACAAACATCGTGGATCCTATTATCCACAATGCCATCTACGAAATGACTCCATGTATCCGTGCGGGAAAACAATGTGGATAATCGCGAGGTAATTGGAAGAATAGAGGTTAATAAATAGGGGGTGTTGCAGACCCTGCAGATTCTGCTGTAGAGTCTGCTCTGTGCCAATGAGCCCTTATGCATTACATGTGAAGAGGAGTCGGAGGCTGGTTACGCACTTATTTATTATTCAAACCACAGCCACACTCGTTCCTAAAACCAACCCCGAACACGCATTTAACAGCCCCTTTCAAACCCTCCAGTCTCCGTCCGTGTGACATCAGTGCCTTTTAACCCTTGACTCCCGTCGAGTGTATTCCCACGCGTGTGATTGGTGTGTGCTATGCTGAGTGCGGAGATTTCGTGTCTGCGTGGCGCGAGTGCGTGAGGATGTCTCGCAGATTCCCTACACATGGACCAACTGTTTGAGCACGTGATGTTATCAAGCACTTAATAAACTGGGCATGGTGTGGCAAGCACCACTCCCCAGCTGCCTTTGTCTCCCCAGTGCTATATACACACACACACTGTCAGGTATTGATTTTAAGTTTGTCTTCTAAATTAAACAAGTGTTTAACAAAAAAAAGAATCGGTCATGATCAATCCACTGCTGGATGAAGGCCTCCACAAGCTTAAATCCACTCCTTCCTTTTTGTTCACCAAAAACAAAACACGCTGCCATTGAAATCACGTGTACAAACATATCAATGGCATGGTTAATGAGAGGCTTGTTCTTACAGTTCTCCCAGCTTCTTCAGAGGTGAAAATGTATTTTCGCCAAGAAGACTGAGTGCATTTCTCTGCAGAACTCTGCAACACACAGAAACAACACAGGGGAACAACCAGACACGACAACCATATCAGTACCTTCCCTTTGGGTTTGTAAAGATGTACATTTTGATTTAAGATTCGTGATGGAATTTTGGGCTAGGCCATGTAATGATCTGGCGAAATTGACACCCTCCACCACCAGAGAGACGCAGAAATTAAATTGTCACGCCGTGTACAAGCATTCAACGCCCCAATTATTATTGTTGTTACAGCTCACTCAGCGGTGAGTTGAAAAACATTTCTCGCAGCCATATTTATCAATTAGATAATGACATTTTGATTGAAACTGCTCCAAGAGTGTTCAGGTCAGAAACCAGGATGTCAGAATAACTGAAGGTGCTTGATGCCGGTTCAAGATCGCAATATGGCTGTCCAGTGCTCGCCGAGCTGCATTGACTTGCGGATGTCGAACGAATACATTATATTATCGCACTTATGGCACACAAAGAGCTTGCCACAAATAAACTACAATACCTTGCTGATATCGTAAGGGAGCATAAACCATCACGGTGAACACCGGTCATCCTCGCAGCAGCTTTTGGCTAGCCATTGAACAAAGACGGTCACTACATCGCCCGCTTTCAGATGCCTTTCTGTGGCTATCTGGAACACTCTTTCTTCGGATATTAGGAAACCACTGGAGCTATGCACTTTTATAATCTAGATTGGAAGCTCATTTCTTTAGAACAGATTTTTGTATTTAGTTTGTTTTTATCACCATGTACCTCAGATTAGCACGGTTGTCTATGTGCGGTGTGAAAGAAGTTCAACATACTCTTAGGTTCTTTTGGTAAAATCACGTAGATAGAAAAATAAATAAATAATTGATCACGACGTTTCGACCGCAACAAAAAGCGATCGTCCTCAGGTGAAAGAGAGAAACATGCCTCTGTGACAAGGCATTATATAGAGGGGGGAGGGGAGGCCGCAAAGGGGCGAGAGGGTGGGGATAAAATTCAAAGAGGGCTTGGATGAAAGAGAGAAAATAAATGTGACAAGGAAGCTTAGATATCAAACTTAACAACATTTTGAAAGGTAATGCAACTCAGAGAGTCGGCTAACACAACAGTTAACACTTTACCTGGTTGATCCAGTCCTACCAAAGATTGCTAAATTTTGCATCCATCTTCTCGGTTGAAATTACGTCTGAGTTGTGTGGAAAACCTCCCCGTAGAGGCGGTTCAATCTTGATTCGAAGCTTTCAACAATAATGCAATTAATAACACGCGCCAATCGGCGGATGTAACGGCCGCAATTCAGAGGCGCGGAGCCAAGCTCAGAGTCACTCGAAAGTGTCTCTTGAAGGAGACAATTGAGGTGATGCTGCGAATGTGCAGAGGGATTGCGTTTCAGACTGTTGGGGCAGCCACCGAGAAGCGGCGCATAGACCTGACCATCCTGGATCTTGGTATCAACATACAGTACATACATAGCACTCAAGAATCTGAAGGTCGTGAGTTGAAATTCCAGTTGGGTTCTACTCAAGATATCATGTCTGAGTAGATACAATGCACAATTTCGAGGGGTTGCCCTATGGCAGGGACTGCCATCAATATGTGGAACTTACACCATTTGCTTAGAGCCACCAACACAGACGGGCACCACCACCCCATGGAGATAATTTGGCATGCAAAAACAACAATGGATGAACATAAGGTGAGACTCTCAGTGCAGAAATTGGTTGCAGATGCCCAATGCTGGCTGAAGGGCCTCCACTAAAGGGAGCTCCAGAGACCCCTTTTCGAGGGCATTTTGCCTACTCCTCCGTGGTGGCAAGACATCTCAGAAAGTGGTGGAAGTACTCACACTTTACCCCCATCGCATGCAACCTGCCCATCGACTAACTGCAGTGCACCTCGTCCGCACTGCCGGGGGCGGAGGATTTTCAGAAACGTGCACCGTTGTTTCGGCTGCCGCACCAGGAGATTGATTTGGCGCCCTCTAGGCTGAAAATCCAATGCGCTCACCATTACGCTATGGCAGTGCGACATCGGCAAACACAGTGCGCCTTAAAAAAACAACACACACACACGAGCTCATTTGATCTTGGGTGGGTGGTCTGATTCGAACACGGGACCTCGGCGGAGCTGAATCAGCACTCTAGCACCCTGAGCCGCTCAGCCACCACGGGAAGCTATACAAATTAATAATAATACTTTCAGATTAAATGTCAGGTGCGTTAGTCATGTTCTGCAGGTTCTCTTGCCATGCACCACTCTTAGGGAAAAGCGTTGATATGCTGAATCTTGTTGGCATTTAAGAAAGTGTTGGTATGAGAACACAGAGTAGACATGACAATTGTAAACGCATGAGAATTGTTGCATTAATTAGAATTAAATATGAATTAGTATATGTGTACATTGTCCTGCATATACGTACATATACTGTATAAGCAATTGCACTTGTATACAATTACATATATATCTATACTCTTTGGTTCTTTCGGTAAAGTCACGTAGGTATGAAATAAAATAAATTAAATTACGACGTTTTGGGCGCAACACAAGCGTCCGTCATTAGGTGGGACAACCACAGCAAGAAACAATTGCTGAAGTGGGCAAAAGGGCTGCTGTAACCAGAGGCTATATAGGTAAGAGAGGGGGGAGAAACCAGGGAGGAGAAATAGAGAGAAAACTTCAAATCTATATATCTCTCGCAGGGTAATGGCATACAGAGCAAGCAAATGGGAATGCACCAATATGTTGGGGCACTTATCAGTGGACAATGACATAATTATTTGATTATAATCAAATGCTCTGAAAATGCCTTTAATTCAGCAACAATCATTCTGATCACGAGCAAATCCTTGTAATGTGTTACCCCTTGAAAATGTACAAACAGGCTACGGATGACGGTGTTTATATTATGTTGGTAATTATAAAACATAGCAGCAGTGGCACCATTTTCAAGAGTTAGCCATTATGTTCCATTGCTATTCCAAAGTTTTTCCTAGCCATTTTAACTCATCATAATTAAATGACTTTAACGTTTAATGCAAGAGATAGATTATTTTTAATCTCTGCACATTTTACAAATACAGTGCAAGAACTGATGAGATGCACTTTAATTGTGAAGAGATGGCTTTGCGGTTAGAGTACCCGACTCTCAACCAGAAGATTTCTAGTTCTGATTATGGTGTTTGTCAATTCAACCAATTACAACTCAGGGGTCGATAAATTGAGTACCACTTTGCCAGAGGTCAACAGTGGTTTTATTTGAGAAAACTACCCGCCACCACAGAAATGTATGCTTGGTTTATAGCAGAAAGACAATTTGACTGAAAATGGCAAAGTAAATCATGTATAGTCCTTTGTGAGTCAACTGCTCCATACCATGTGGGGGTTGCTTGACTATACTTCACAGTGCTCACCGAGCTGCGCTGGCTACCGGTTGCTGAACGAGCGCATTGTAATGTTGCACTCATTACACACAAAGTGCTTTCCACAAATGAACCACAATACCTTGCTGATCTATTCAAGGAGCATAAACCATCACGCAAAGTCTGGTCATCCTCACAACAGCTTTTAAGCTGGCCATCAAAAAAGATATGGTCACCGCATCGCGCTTTTCAAATGCGCTTCTGCGGCCGTCTGGAAGACTCTTCCTTCTGATATTAGGAAGCTACTGGATCTATGCCTGATAACTTGATCTAAATTGTCTTATGGTTGTTATTGTTAGACTTGCATCCCATTGGGATTTTTGCACACAACGTTGATATACGGTGCTTTTTTCTGGAAGATTTTACTAATTTTTCCTGGATGTTTCTGTTGCGTCTCGGCACTTTAAGATGTTCTTTGTTCATGTTTTGTTTGTTGTGGTTGCACCCGAGTCAAGAGCCTCATGGCTCACAGGGCTATACCTAATAAATTAAACTGAAAGTCCAGATTGAAAACTAATTTCTTTCGAACTGCTTTTGTGTTTAGTTTGTTGTCCTTCCCCCGCACCTCCGATTATCTGTTTGTATGGTATGAAAGAAGTTAAATATACGTAAATATAAGGAGGTGGCAGGAGGAGAGGCCAGGAGCATTTCAGATATCCCACGACTTTATCAGATATCCAAAACATAATCAGATATCCCATGCCATTATCAGATACCCCACGGCATTATCAGACGTTCACTTGACCTAACGGTAGCACGTTCACCGCTTGTTGAAGAGGTTTACGGAAAGAATCTGGCAGCTGCCCTGATTAATACTGCGCTGTGGTATGAACCATGCCGTCTACTTCACAGTGGACATTAAATATCCACTGACATCATTTGCAGGGTCAAAATTTGCCAAAATAAAAAGCACCCACAATTCTTTGGTTCTTTCGGTAAAGTCACATAGGTATAAAGCGTGGTCTGCTGCTGAGGCAGACTATTTTAAAATGTTTGAAATGGGTGTAGCTCAAGGGTTATAAATAAGTGGCCGGGGCTAGTGATGTTAATGTGACAAATTAGCATGTAAATGTAAGATAGGAGAGCGGCCTCCTCGACGAGGGCACGGAAGTGGCCATGTTGATTATCATTTACATGCTAATTTCTCACATTAACATCATGCTAATCCCTCACATTAACATAGCCACTTCCGTGCCCTCGTCGAGGAGGCCGCTCTCAAATCTTAGTTACATGCTAATTTCTCACATTAACATCACTAGCCCCAGCCACTTCTTTATAACCCTTAAGCTACACCCATTTAAAACATTTTGAAACAGTCTGCCTCAGCAGCAGACCATGCTTTATACCTACGTGACTTTACTGAAAGAACCAAAGAATATGGATTCCTGCAGTCACGAAAGCTTCAAATCAAGAAAGCACCCACAAATTACTGAATGTGGATTACATATCGCAATTCTTTTGCCCCCCCCCCTCCCCTATTGGCAGACCAATGCCACAGGTCAATCTTGAAAATTTTATTATTCTGGTCTCTTGAGGTCTAACCTGGTCAAACAAAATAAACTTGAACTGATGTTAGCCATGGCCAGGGGTTGAACTTGCC